CAATGTACCTTAATCCTAGATAATAAGGTGGGTAGGCTGCAGCCTTAACGCAAAAGAGTCCCAAGTAAAGTTTTTATTTATTTATTTATTTATTTATTTATTTATGGGGTTTATAGCCCGCCTTTCTCCCAAAATGGGGTTGCATTTTTTGGAAATAAATGAATCTGATCGCCCCCAACCAAGATAAATTTGGAAACACTGAGTTTATTCTCAGTCTCTCTGGATTAGGAAAGTTAGTCCCATTTAAATAAATGGACCTGGAGTAACACATTTTAAGGAAGCTTTGCTTTTTAAAAAAAAAAAAGGGGGGGGGGCACGATCCAACCAAAAGGAAGCGCATTTTAAAGTCAAATGGATTTACAGAAGAAAACGTGAGCTTCAATCTCGTTGGACACAAGCGGGATTTTAATGTGTCTAACTCGGGATCGGGTCCATTCGAGGAAAATTAGGTTGCAACCTTATGCAGAAGTCAGGGGAACTGAGGGGTGTTGAAGACTGCCAGAAATAGTGCAAATTGAGTCCACTTTTAGGGTTAGGGTTAGTGCAAGGGAATCATGGGAATTGCTTTTTTTCCTGAGACATTGAGCCTTCTCTGTCAGAGAGCTCTGGTGCCACAATAAACTACAGTTCCCATGATTCCCTAACCCTAACCCTAAAAGTGGACTCAATTTGCACTATTTCTGGCAGTCTGCAACCCCGCCTGAGTTCCGTGTAGACACGTCCTGCATGAGGATCCAATTTGGGTAATATAGGAGCCAGTGGTTCTTCAAGGGAATGGCGGCTCCAATAATTTGCTGAGGTTGTAGCAATTTTGGGACCCGAGGCCAGGTTGTGTTTAGGCTCTAGATCAAGAGAAAAATAAGGGGGGAGATTATTCGTCTTCTAAATTAACTACAGGGGTGCTAGTCAGGGAAGAGAGGAAATTGAACGAGAGAAGGGCGGCGAAGAGGCGAGAAATTCTCTTAAAATACACTGGTGTTTGATGGAGGGGGCAGAGAAGGAAAGTTGAAGGTGTTTTTCTTCCTTGATCCAAAAGCAAGCCGTCCCTGGTGCCTACCACATAAATATGCGATCTGGGGTTTGGCTCTTATCAGCCTTGGGAGTA